ATGAGCACACCTGGGACTAACCCAAATTAATTTTTTTTTCATGTTTATTTATTTTGAGAGAGCCTGAGGAGGGGAGGGTTAGAGAGAGAGCAAGAGAGAATCCCGAACTGTGAGATCATGACCTGAGCCGAAATCAAGAGCTGGACGCCCAACTGACTGAGCCACCCAGGCGCCCCAGACTTTAACTCAAATTTTAGGAGTCTAAGTCCATTGCCATTAAATAAGTTTAAGCAGTAGTTATACATACTTACAGTAAAACCACTCCTGAACAGAATCTAAGATGGTCCTCATCTGTGTCCAGTTTGACCTACCCTATCTGAAGTTTCAGTGTCAAGGCACTCCCTTCTAGCTCTCCTGAGATTTTTGGTTTTTCTATGAGTTTTGTTTTGTTTTTAAACCACCATCTAAAGAGCCCTAAACTTTTTGGCTCTTAGTACCTGGATCCTCAATTTAATACCTAAATTAATATTTAAAATGAAAGGTGGCAGGGGGACAAGGGAAGGGAGGGCAGGCACAAAAAAGGTTATTTCCACCTCTGATTTTATATAACTTCTTTTCTCTGTCTTCAGAATGTTCTCCCATCCTAAGAAAGTTCTATTCATCCATCAAATATCATCTCCTTCCCAAATCCTAAAACCATCCCAACACCACCAAACCTGGTTAACTGCCTTTTGCTGGACATGTGCTGCCCTTTATACAAATGTCTTTTAATAGATTTATCACTCTGCACTGTAGACATGTAAAAATACTCATTTATTTACATGTCTTTCCAAAGGGTTTCTTTTTAATTTTTTTTTAATGTTTATTTTTGACAGAGAGAGGCAGAGCGTGAGTGGGGGAGGGGCAGAAAGAGAGGGAGACACAGAATCGAAGCAGGCTCTAGGCTCTGAGCTGTCAGCACAGAGCCCGACGCGGGGCTCGAACTCATAGACCGCGAGATCATGACCTGAGCCGAAGTCGGTCGCTCAACCGACTGAGCCACCCAGGCGCCCCTCAAAGGGTTTCTTAAAGCCAGAAAGGCTTTAAGATTCATTGATTTGATTCATTCATTCTTGGAACGGACAATGGTTACTAGCACACAGTAGGTGTTTAATGTGTATTGGATGAAAGAATGGCACTGGAACATCTAACCTACAAGTTAGAGTTTCAACTGTGAGTTCATAGAGAGGAGCAGAGAAGAACACTTAAGATTAGTAAAACAGAACTTTTCACACATAAAGCCACCCTCAAATAATGTGTAATTGACCCAGATGAAGATAAAACACTGGCTTTTCTGTGGAGACTCAGCAATGTGGATGACTGCTCAGTATTGAGACATTTTCACGAGTCATTTGCTACCTCTTTATTTTCAAGTTGGCCCTGACTTAGTTATCATCCTCATTTTCCAAGAGAGGAAAAGGGCTCAACTATTCTTATTCGCACAATGCCACCTTCTACTCAAATTTGAGAACTGAGACTCACAGCCAATAAACAAATCGTAGGGTTACCTGGATGAGGCGGTACTCCGGTGTGTACAGGTGGTTGAAAAGGGCGTGGTACAGGACCTGGGCTCTGTTATACTGGAGCAAATCAGCAGCTGGCTGCAAGCAAATTACCCCGTTAAAAGCTTCCCAACGGTGCCAAACCATGGATGATTTTCGAACTTGAATTACGGGTACGTAGGGTCTATTACACCAAAGGATTCATAATAGCACTCTCGGCAAAGTGGTGCAGCGGAAGGGTGCTGGGCCCAGAACAGCACCCTCTACTTCTGTGTATACTTTTTTAAAAGCTCCACAACACATAGTTAAGAGGGGAAAAAAAAAAAAAGTTTCCTTGAGTAACTTGCGCATTTGGGCGCAATCCCTTTCAGTTTCCCATTCTTTTGCACCTTGAAAGTCAACTGTTAATTACTCAAGGTCTGGTTATTCATTTTGACACGCGTGAGCATGGCCCAGGTGTCTTCCACATATTACCTACGAGACACAATCTACTAGGCTGGCAGAAGGAAAATATAAAGAAAAAATATAAAGAAGTGATTTTTTTCACGTAACGGCATTAATGGAAAGTTAATAGGAAATATGAAAAGGCAAGAATAGTGATATCATGACTCAGTCTGTCCCATCAACACAGATGACAAAGTGCAGAGGTCGCTCACCACATTAAGCACGATGTGATGGAGGCAGTGGACACCCAGTATTTTGTTCTCTGTTTGATAGTCATCCGAGATGAGCAGCGATGGGGGAAGTATCCTCTCCAGATGTTGGTTCAGCCAGGGTCGAGAGACCTGCTGCAGAGTCCATGAGAAAACATGTTTTGTGGCAGGGTTATTCTTCCAGGATTCTCTATATGGAAATGTGAAACCACAGGAAGTAAAGTGATACAGTGTTAGCTAGCAAAAAAAAAAAAAAAAAAAAAAAAAAAAAAAAAAAATTAAACTCTTCAAGCTAAATAAAGCATTATCTTGCCCTTGAAAAAAATACATACCCCATAAGATATCTCTTGATGTTACGCATACTAAATCAAAATAACTTACACTAAATACATTTAATAATCACCCAGGGCTCTGGGTCTAAAGCTAATCCAATGAGAAGGATCCATTTATAACCAACAGCTTGTAAAGAATCTGTGGGTGGTTACAGAGGAGACGTGCTGACACGGGAGAGAAGTAAAGGAAATGTCTTCAAGCATCACTATAATTATTGTAAGGGAGTAAATGAGTCAATATTTGAACAGCAATTTACAACTTATAAAGTGGGTTTACACACTTTACTCAACTAACCTTCAAAATAACTCTATAATAGATAATATTATCTTTATATTACAAAACAATGAAACAAGTTCAGAGAAGCCCTCTGACCTGGTTCTACTCAGAAGCAATAAAAAGAAGTACCAGTCTACCTCCAAGCCAAGCCTTTGAACTCCAAGTTCCTGGTAAGTGAGAGTTATGTACACATTTTTTCTCTCATCACTCTGGTGTTACAAATACTAACAAAATAGCAGGTAGAACTGACAGAAAATACTTTAGCTAACAGCAATCTATAGGGTGTTTTTCATCCCAAACACTGCTTCCATATCTAATAACCATCCTTATCTAATAACTGTTGATGAGTTTCAAGATCCCCGAGTTTAAGTTCAAACCACTTAAGTTTAAATCCTCTCCAAATCCCATTCTCACCTAACTGAAGAAAGTTCAGTATAAATAATTTGGACAGAACTTCCAATGCCAAGGGCAGTTGTCAGGAGGATGGCAAAGAGCACTAGAAAATGGGGAGTCTGAAGACCGGGGCTCTAATGTAGAATTTGCCAATGTCTAATGTCATTTATAGCAAATCACAACCTTTCTGGGCCTTAAGAAATCTCCTATTACAACACCTTTATCTTACTGATGAAGAAACTCAAGTTTCTTTGAGCTCTATCTAACATTCTAAAACGTTAGGGTGAAGCTCAAGTAAGTAGCTCTCTCAACAAGAATACTCACTTATTCAAATCGGGTTTAAGAAGTTCCATTATTAAAATAAATCTCCCTTTCTCATCTTCATTTTCTCCGTGCAGAAATCCTGCCACAGAACCACACTCAGTAACTTGAAGGAGTAAGGCGAGCACCTCTCCAGCAACGTCATGGGATCTTGGGCTGGTCCATGGTTGCTCCAAGCTGTGTGTGACCGCAAAAATATAGATGGGTCCTGCCAAGTCACTTAGGCCTGTCTTCCACTTAGGGCAAACCAAGGAATTCTTGGCCGCCTCAAATTTCCCCAAGAGTTTAAGAAATACTAAGCCAACTGCTGCCGCTTTCTCGGCCACTTCAGAGTAACCATGACCTCTACCTTCCTGCTCCTTGGGTGGGGCTGCATACTTCTCCAGGGCTTTTGCCACCTGCCCCAGCATTTCGGGCATTCCGTGGAGCGATGTGCCACTCCCCTCAAAAAACTGATCGCGTTCTGTGGCTTCTATGAGAGCACCGAGGTCCTGAACTGCTGCACTTTTGCCCTTGCCCCGTCGGGACTCCTGGCTGGTAAGGCGGTGCAAAATCTGGGAGAAGGACTGTCCGAGGGCCGAGGAAGGCCACTCTCCCGGCAAGGAAGTGCCTTCCCGCGATGGGGATTCCCGAGAGCGGTCATGCTCCATTTCTCGGACTGCGGCAGTGATGAGCTTGTCTCCCCCAGAGAACCAAGATGGAGGCAAGA